ATGACTGGCTATTGCCAACCTATGTAAAAGGAAAGCTTTTATTAGAAAATCTGTCGCATTGAGGGGTTGGGATTTAATTTTTTTAAAAAGATTTACTGTACTTACATGGAATACAAATGCAGTCCCATTTACTATGCTTCATTTATAACTCAGGATTTTTTTGAATCTCATTTTTGGTATGGTAAGCTGTAGAAATGAGGAAAGGTGGTATTTCTTGTATATGTCTGACAGAACAATACAATACCAATTTTACTAGATAACTATAGTTTTTAAGAGAAATGATGTGTGGTCAGATCATTATTAAAGTTCTTTTGTGTGTAATGTGGCAGAAGGATTAGCCTTTTAAGAGCACCTAGAGGAGCAGAGATTTTTAGCTTTGGTAAGGCTTAACCATTAGCCATCACTTGTCACAGTGGTAGCTGATTTTTCTCTGTAGTTTCAGATACACAGCTGTGGTGTTCGTTGGAACATAACAGCTGTGTAACATTATTTGATAGAATTTTCTTGCTCCTTATGTAACTAGTAGCTGAAAATTAATTTTTTTTTCTCTGGTTTACATACTGGATATCTTTAGGAAAAACTTAGTCTGAAAGTTACTTCTCTAGTGCCCTTATCTCAAGGGAAAAATACAGGAGACGTGATACAGAAGTGATGAATTCTATCTGTTTTATCAGCTCCATCTAGATATGTCGGTAGGGTTGCAGTGCTATGAGAGAACATGCTTTTACCAATTGTTATGTCCATGCAACTGAATTTTTTATTTTATTTTGAGAATTCTGTGTTTTCTAGTATTAGTTGGTGTCGTTCTATGTAGCTAGTTGTATTTTTAAAAGTATGTTGTGCTTCAACACTTTGACACCGAGACGTGATTTTTTTGTAATGAGGTTGATGATGAAAACCCATGCTTGTGCATACGTCACAAAAATTTTTTGCTCTGGTGCCTTTTGGAACATGAACATAACTGAACCAACTTTTAAATCTTTTCATGGTATCTTTCAAGAAAATAATGTGATAATAGTTGTGGTTAAATGTAATTTTAATAATTTAAATTGGCACCATTGGAATTTACTCCTAATACGTTTTCTGCTGAGCTCAGGTTTGTCCTGTTTTGCACAAATATGAATAGCAGTAATGCAAGTGTCTGAGATTTGTGAGTACAGCTTTATCATGTTTTGCCACCTTCCTTCTTGCCTTTATACAGATAATTACACATGATTAAAAGTTTTTTAAAAAATAGCTACTTTCTAAATTTCACAAGAAAATGCAGTAAAAAAGGGGGTAAATTAAATTAATACAGTTCTAAACACTAAGGTAGCATGAAGAGAGGAGAGGAAGTGTTGCAAGTTTTTCGTAGATGCAATTATGCTCATACTTGGGATAGTGTATTTATACTACACATATGCTGAAGACTTGCAAGATGTAAAAATTGTGTAAAAATTCACTCAGCAAATATGCTGAAATTTCTCTGAAGTGCACTGGAATTTGAAGATATCTCTGTATCCCATGACATGGATAAAGTTGTGTTTGTAGCTACATTGAGATTGTTGCTATTGTTTCTTGACAAGTTTTTGGTTTATTTGATAGTGTTTCAGATTTTTGTATAGATGCTCTGTTTTGAGTTTTCCATTCAAATCTGGTTGCATGTTCAAAGTATGGTTATTTTTTATCTTTTGCTTTGTAAGGTACAGGTACACAAACCAATATATGTATTTTTTATATTAATATAAAATTTCATATTACTTGGGTGAAAGAAAGCATAGTTGTGTATTTTGGTTTTAAAATAGATTCACCACTCAGAGTTATGTTAGAAATAAGTCCTAGAAGAATCAAGCTGGATAGGCAAGCAAGCAGTGGTATAGCTAAGGAGAGCCCTAACATAAGTAGATTTATAGCATTAAAGATTATCAGAAGGCATGTTTTTCTGGTTTTAAGTTTAAATGATCTAGGACTAGCAAAAAGTATAGGCAGATAGGAGCCTTTCCAAGGGAAAGAAAATAAGCAGGGAAACTGCTGCTTTGAGAAGATCAGTCTATATTTGTTAATTTGTTTTTCCTTCCAGAAATTCCTTTTGGTTTGTCCTTTCTATATTTGAATGTATAGTGATTTTATGACTGTGAGTTAGTAGGTATGTGTTGCAGATAATTCCAAGTGGTTTTGCATGCTACTGGAGAAGAGAGAAGCTTACACTCACCTTCCCTGAAAAGGTGTGCTGGCATGCGCCCATTCAAAGGGATAGTTGTTGTCAGGAATGCTCTTCTGTCTGTTTCTGGCACGGTTTTCTAGATGATAGTTCATGTTACCCCAAACCTGGAAATTGTACCTTAAAGTAGAGCTGCAGATTGGGTAAGAGCTGAAGGAATGTAAGTGCTGTGGCCATTCACAAGCTGGAGGTATCTGCATAACCTTATGTTGTCAGAGACATAACTTTTTCATAACAGAAGCTGGCATCCAGTGTTCTGGAGTGGGTGTTTGGACCATGCCGTCTCATGCAGACTGAGGTGCAGACAGTCAGACTTCCTGTGTTCACTACACTGAGTGGAAACCTAAATAAATCTGAAGGTTGTTACCCACAATGGCCAGAACTGCTTTTAAGCTCCCCTAGGGTGCAAATGAAGTTTATTTTAAATGCATGATTTTCCTGGTCAGGAAAACAAAAGTGTTCTCTATCAGATGGATGTATTTACGTTGACATAGCATATGTGCATTCTGTTGAAACATTCCAAATCTTTGTCGTTTGCTAGCATTTGCTGTTGTGCATGTGACCAACAATGAGGAATAGGTTCCCTCCAAAAACTTCAAGGGAGAAAAAGGGTGAAAAAGAGTGAAAATAAATACAGATGCCAAAATAAACAGTGGTTGTTACACTTAAAAGACAGTTGTAGTGAATCAAAACACTATCAGAGTCGTCTCAACACAGGTTCCATGGAGGCTTAAATACTGAAGTACTTAGGGCCTCCAACAAATGTTTTGTTGCCTGTGTTTTTTCTTTCCTGGCTTAGTTTTTTTTGCTCCCAGCATCTGTCAGAGTCCAAGAACTGAAGTCAACACGAGGGAAGTGGTGGAAGCAGACGAAGAGGTAGAGCAGGGAGTAACAGATCCCAGACTGAAGCTTGATGTTTCTGGAGGTGTTCTGTTTTTGCAGTTTTTAATATGGACCTAAAATCGTGACTCCCTACTTGTCTGTAGTCTGATTTAGTTTTACAACCAAAACCTTTTTACAGGGATATGCCACCTGACTGAATTTCTTCACAGGGATTTTCAAGTCACCTCTGTGATTATTTCTTACTGACACCCTGCAAATAGGGCTTAGAAGAATTCTTCATCTTACTGAGACATATTCTTAGATCTTTCTACACTCTAAATATGTGAGAGAAACTTTAACTTACTGGTGGTATTCACCAGGAAGGTCGTTTGCGTTATGTCAGGATTTAATCATTATTTTTATGTTTATTCATTTTCATTATTTCCATGCCTCTGAAGAGAGTGCAGTGCACTTGGACTTTGCTTAGCAGAACCTTGTACAACCTCCTTTGAATCCTGAACAGTAACCAATACAGCAGTTTGTTTTTTTCATTCACAATAAAGCCTTCAAAAAACTGTGTCATCTTTTTCCTAACTTGGAATTAGGCTGTGTGATACCTCTCTATTAATAATGTCCAGCATGTCTGATGTCTGTATAGGAAGGAAGAAAAAAATTTTTTTTTTTCCAAACAACTGAGAAGTGCAGAATGCTCGACGCACATTATAACTACAAATGTCACCGTCTTGGTACAGTGTTAAAGTTTATACTCTTAATAATTCAAGCTCTGGTATTTGTGGTCCGTGCTCTTTTAGTTGCTTGCATAGTTGCAGATTTTGAAGTGTTTTTCCAGAACCAAAACAGGGATTGCAGCAGCGCAGCAGAATTAGATTGACTTTTTAAGAGGCAAGAAGATCAACAATTGCAGATCTTCTTCAGATTTTAGGGTTTTTTTAAGGGCTGGATCTCACTCTGCAAGAAATAAAGCTCTCCAGCTAGTAAATTCCTTTCTCACATGTCAGACTATTCAATTCTGAAGTCAGCAATGACACATGTGATTTGGTGAAATCATCAAGACTATGTTCAGTAATTAATAGTTCCAGTATGGGTTATACTGAAAATTATTTCAAAGTTCTACTTAATTTGATAATCGTAGGAGAACATGCAGTTGAAGAGGTCACAGTATCATCCTGAGAAGGGAAGAAAATTAAGTATTTTAAAATAGTTAGTGTTTTTATAGCCTTTTTTTCCTAGATACATTTGTATTTGAATTAGAATTTTAGTACATCCAAGGAGACTATATACGTGTAATATTTCCAAATCATTCTCTAGAAGTCTTTCAGTGTTAGTTTTGTAAAGTCATGAATTATTTGTTAGTCATCACTGAGATACGGTGAACAGATTTTGTACTGAAACCTGACGTTAACAGGACTACTCACATTACATGATTCAGTATTTCCTGTCTTCACAGGGCTGAGTTTTAGGTTTCCAAAACATTTAGAAGTCGTAGGCTTTTGAAGCTTTCTACTGCACTTTTTACTCTGTGGGTTCCAAATAACATCTATTATTTTGTCTTGTAAGTCATGTTTCTGATTCATTCCTGCCACTATACTTCTATAATAATGTTTGATATGCTATATTCAGGAAGATATGATTTTGTCTAGTATGCTGTGTTTAGCCAAAAAACAGTTTGAGGTATTAGAACTACAAAGTTATGAATGACTGTCAACCAGGGCATACTCAGCTGCCAGGTGTCATGAGAGTAGCGGAATATTCTTTCTGCAAGTTTTAAATATTGTTTTGATTTTCTTAGAACTTGCAGTACTAGATTGTATTTTGTATGTGAATTGAAATGAAGCATCCTATCAGTGACAAAAAAAGATGCTAGTTAGCATTATCTTACTGCTCAGGATTCATAAAGTACAGAATCTAGGTCTGAGAAGCTAAGTTGAATGTGCTTTTTATTCTTTTTGTTTTTCAGAGGCCCAGAAGACACAATAAATGACTGTAAAATCCTTTTTATAGAGGAAATGTACAAGATTGAAAAGCCAGGAGCCTATCCATTGACATTTGGGGATGGAGATTTCAAAAGTATGCTTTTTTTTTAAATTATTTGAGTAGAAGTCTAATTGAGTAATGTTTTTAAAAAGCAGAAGGATTAGCATGTAGAGGGATTAATAACTGTTATGTATTCAGGAAAGTAATCACATAGAATACTTTATAGATTTCTGTTCTAAAAGTATACTTCCTGAAAGATGACTCAGGTACTTGACATATTCAGAAACTAGTAACATCTTAGTGCTATCAGTCATAAGCAGGGAGAAAGGGAAATAGCTGTAAGCGAACTGTGCAGAATGGATTTGTAGTCTCAGTTAACTTCTTAAACAGATGTCTAGGTCACCAAAACGGCTATTGCAACTGACATGTCATTTAAACTTCTAATAAATTCATAAATGCCGAGAATACAATCAGTAATGATGCACTTTAACCCTGTCATCATGTCAATAAACAAACAAATAAATAAATAACTTTGTGCCAGAGCTGCTTGTGCCATGAAAAAAAAGGGATAAGTAACATTTGGATTATTATTTGGCTTTGCATGACCTTCTAAAAAAATAAATGTGCCATACCTCCTCATCTGTCCCACAGCTGGAAGAAGTTAGTGGCAACTTATCTAAAAAGTAGTGTGGTGTTATATCCTAAGTTAAAAACTAAATGAAAGTTAGGAGTGGTGTTTGTGATAGCAACACTGAGAGATTGGACTGCAGCTCTAATAGGTATTATTATTTATTAGACTCCTGAATCCAAGGCAATTTTTCAGAACCTTTTTATGTATCTCTTAGTGCACAGAACTAATGTGCTTACTGTTTGTTTGATGTCACCTAAAACCCACCGTTTTTCAAAGGAGCAAATTGCATTTGCTGGGGTATTTTTAAAACTAAAAATCTGAACCTCTGTAAATGAACTTATCGCAGGACTTTTTTTTTTCATTTCCTTTCTCAGATTACTAAGAAAATTAACCATCCCTTCTGTTTATTTTTTTCTTGGTCATGTTAATGGGTTTTTCCAACATTGTATACCATGTTTTTATATTAAAAAATTGTAGCGCAAGAAATGTAAAAACCTACAGATACTGCTTTGTATTTACATACCTACTTATTTTACAAGTCTAGTTGTTTATGAAACTTTTTAAAGGGCATATACAATGATTATGGTTAAATTACTTCTTCCATGCAACTACTGTGTGGTGAATTCAAAATTATGTCTGTGTTAAGGAAATTAATTACTACTACATTGATGATTCTACAAAATCGTCTGCAATGTCACCACTTGATCTGACATGAGTATTTATTTATAGTGGAGTCACAGAATCGTAATATTTTATAGGTTGGAGAAGACTTTTAAGTTCATTGAGTCCAACCATTAACCCAGCAATGCCAAGTCCACCACTAAACCATGTCCCTAAACACCACATCTACTTTTAAAGACCTCCAGGGATGATGGTGACTCAACCACTTCCCCTGGCAGGCTGTGCCAGTGCTTGACAACCCTTTCACAGAATCGGAGGATCATAAAGGTTGGAAAGGACCTTAAGATCATCAAGTCCAACCTACAGCCCTACACCACCCTAACACTAAACCCTCTCCTGAAGTGCCCCATCCAGCTGGTTTTTAAACACGTCCAGAGATGGTGACTCCACCACCTCCCTCGGCAACCCGTTCCAGTGCTTCACCACCCTTTTTGTGAAGAAGTGTTTCCTAATGTCCAATTTAAACTTCCCCTGGTGCAACTTGAACCCATTCCCTCTTGTCCTATCGCTGTTCACTAGGGAGAAGAGGCCAACACCCGGCTCACTACAGCTGACTTTCAGGGAGTTGTGGAGAGCAATAAGGTCTCCCCTCAGCCTCCACTTCTCCAGGCTGAACAGCCCCAGCTCCCTAAGCCTCTCTTCGTAAGACTTACCCTCTAGTCCCCTAATCATTTCAGTGAAGAAGTTTTTCTTAATAACCAAACTAAACCTTCCCCCGTGCAACTTGAGGCCATTTTCTCTTGTCCTATCGCCTGTTACATGGGAGAAGAGACCAACCTTCACCTCTCTACAACCTCCTGTCAGGTAGCTGTAGTGAGCAGTAAGGATTCCCCTCAGCCTCCTTCTCTCCAGGCTGAACAACCTCAGTGCCCTCAGCTGCTCCTCACAGAACTTGTGCTCTAGACCCTTCACCAGCTTCTTCATGTGCCCTTCTCTGGACACGCTCCAGCACCTCGGTGTCTTTCTTGGACGGAGGGGCCTAAAACAGAACACAGGGTTCAAGGTGCGGCCTCACCATTCTGTACTTCCTACAATGATTGCCAACTTTATTGTTTCAAAGTCAAACTCTTTATTTTCACTTACACTCTTTATCTCCTATTTTGATAGCTATTTCCTTACTTGTATCCTCTTTGCTTTAACTACTCACACACTGCTGTCCGTGTAGAGATTTGCACCACTCTGTGTGTTTTGTTTCATTCTGCTCCTGGTCCAAATTTTGTTCACTGTAGTATACAAGAGTATAAAGAGATGTATATAAGAGTACGAAGAAATATAACACAGAAATATAGTCTTTAAAAATGTAACCCTGAAAACTTATCTCATCTGACAATTTAGATATATTTCTTTTTTGAAATTGCTCTTTTTCCTGAGGCAGACTTTCTCACTGCATTGCTCTTTTCATTTCTGTCTATGTGATTCTGAGTTTTTGGTCCTGTGTCTTGCTGTTGTTTGCTTATGTACACTGCATATTAGTTGAGCTGTATGCTGTAAGCAGTATACCCTTCACCTCTGGACTGTACTTACCTCCCTATTTTTACTTTGTATTTAAAATTTTTAAAAGTAAACACACACAAGACTACATTAGCTTCTATGCTATGAAAAGCTGCAAATTTTTGTTATGGCAGATAAAATTAAAATAATTAGTTGTCCATAAATACTCTATGAGATTGTTGTAAGCATAATTGGAAAATGCGCTTACTGTATTTTTATCTATATTAAGCTATTGGCCCTGTCCTTTTGAGAAGATAGAATGCCTACTTTTGGAATAATCTTCATCAAATAAACAATGTATGCTGCTTCTGCAGAAAAATTGTTATTCCTTGCACATGGCCATTCATCATTAGGTTTTGTATTTGTAAATTATATAAAAATGTGTATGACATATCAGTATGTTTTTAGCAGTTATAGTTAAAAATAAGGTAGTTATTTTCAGTGTATTTAATGGAAATCTAAATTCTGCAGCCCAGGAAAAGGCTGAACCAAAAGGCTGAACCCAGTAAGGCTGAACCAATTAGGAGATTGTATTAGAAAATTAGACATCTAATAAGCAACATAGTTGTAAATACATTTCAAGTATTTATATGCCAAACAGATAAAGGACCTTTATATCAACATATATTGCTCCCATCAGAATCCAGATTTGTGCTATGAACGTGAGATAACTCTTCCTGCAAAAGAGGAAAGTATGAAATGATATATGCAACTAAATTCTACAGCATTGGTAGGGATGAACAGACCTGTCTTCATGTGACCAGTAGTGCAGATATAATCAATACATTGGACTTACAACATGGTTAAAGCAGAAATGTGAAAAAATAAAATCATATAATTAAAATGAAGTTTGTTGTTTGTATGTTGAACAAAGTTAAAACTCTAGATATTGTTTAACTGAAGTATCATCTGTAGACTTTTTTGCTTTTTTCCTCTGTTTAAAAGATACTATTACTAATCTTTGACTGAACAAACTGGTTTTGTGTCCAAAACCAGTAAATTACATAGGCCTAAACAACCTGTCGTAGTAAGAGAAACAGAAAAATAGACAATTTCTTTTTGCTGGTTACTTGTTGGATGAGGTAGACTAGTGAGTGCTCAGTCATCACTTTTAAAATTTTTCAGAGTTACCTGGCACTGACTTCAAATGGTGGTGGTGCCTTGGGCAGATCATGGGTTTTGCCTAGCTGTGGTGGAAAATCCACAGATTTGTTCACCAGTGCTCTTACAAAGGGTTCCTTTCTCTTCAAAGGAACCCTGGAAGTGAAGTCTTAAACTAGAAGATTACTTCCATTTGATAGCATGCAGATGAGTCTTCTGGGCTATACTTTGCTAGAAGCACTCTGACAGCTAGAAGCTGCCAGTGCTGGCTGGTAGCTCTACACATTTGCTCCTCATGTTTTCCAGTCAGTACTTCTCACTACACCTTCTGTCTGGTTTTCCCTCTTCAGTGATTCCTCTCTTATCGTCTTAGGCTTTTGTGATTTTTTTCTTTAAAAAATATTAAATTTTTAATTGCAGTGTCCTACCAGTTCTTATAGAATGGTTTGAGCTGGGAGGGACCTTTAAAGATCATCTAATTTAACCCTCCTGTCATGGGCAGGGGTACCTTTCCTAAGTGGGGTTGCTCAAAGCCTCATCCAACCTGACTGAATGCTTTCAGGGATGGGACATCACAGCTTCTCTGGGCAGCCTGTTCCAGTGTCTCACCACACTCATCGCAAAAAATACCTTCCTTATATCCAATCTAAACCTACCCCCTGTCAGTTTAAAACTGTTGCTCCTTGTCCTGTCACTATGGGCTCTGGAAATTTTTATTTCCATCTTTCTTTTAAGCCTCCTTTAAGTATTGAAAGGACAAAATAAAGTGTCCCCACGGCCTTCTCTACTCCAGGCTGAACAAACCCAGTGCTCTCAGCCTTTCTTCACAGGAGAAGAATTTGACTGTTTTTGTAGCTCCCCTCTGGGCCTACTCTAACAGGTTCATGTGTTCCTTTTTCTGGGGACCCCTGAGCTGGATGCAGTACTCCAAGAGGGGTCTTGTGAGAGCAGAGTAGAGAGGAAGAATCCCCTCCCTCAACCCACTGGCCACACTTGTCTTTATGAAGCGCAGGATGTTCTTGGCTTTGTGGGCTGCAAGTGCATGTTGCCAGCTCACATCCAATTTTTTGTCCACCAGTATACCCAAGTCCTCTGCAGAGCTGCTCTCAACCCATTCATACCCCAGCCTGGACTGCTGTTGGGGATTCTCCTGTGCAGGATCTTGCAATTTGTGTTGCTGAACTTGAAGAGATTTGCATGGGCCCACCTCTCAAGCCTGTCAAGGTCTGTCTGGATGGCATCTCTTTGCATTGCTGTATCAACTGCACCACTTGGCTTTGTCATCCACAAGTGTGTCAGGAGTGCATTGAATCCCACTGTCTATGTCACTGAAGGTATTAAATAGTATTGGTCCAAGTGTGGACCCCTGAGGGACACCGCTGCTTACTTGTTCCCACTGAACTATTGGATGCAGACCATCCAGCCAGGTCCTTTTCCATCTAACAGTTCATCCATCAAATCCGCATCTCTCCAATTTAGCAGCAAGAATGTTGTCAGGGACCAAATCACAGCCTTTACAGAAGTCCAAGTAAATGACATTTGTAATTCTTCCTTTGTCCAGATGCATTTAGTCCATTGTAGAAGGCCACTAGATGAATCAGACACAATTTGCCTTTGATGAAGCCGTGTTGGCTGTATTAGTCACCTCCCTGTCTTCTGTGTGCTTCAGCATTACTTCCAAGAGTCTCTATTCTATGATCTAATTGGGCACTGAGGTTGAGGCAGATTGGTCAGTAATTACCAGGTCCTCCTTTTTATCCTTTTTAAAAAAGGGTGCAGTGTTCTCTTTCCTCCAGTCAGTGGAGACTTCCCATGACTCCCATGACTTTTCAGATGTGATGGAGAATGGCTTAGCAACTACATCAGCCAATTACTTCAGGACCTTGGGATGCATATCACTGGGTCTCATGGACTTGTGTATGTTCACGCTCCTTGGGTGGTTTTGAACCTGATCTTCCCTTACAGTGGGAGCGACTTCATTCCCCCGGTCCCTACCTTGAAGTTCAGGGCCTTGAGCAATGTAGAGAGAGAGATTATCAGTGAAAACTGAGGTGAAAAACGTTGTTGAGTACCCTGGCCATCTCCATGTTGGTTGTTACTAGTTATGTCACATTTATCAGGGGATGGGTACATTTTCTTTAATCTTCTTTTTCTGACTGACATACCTGTAGAAGCCGTTCTTACTATTCTTTACAACCCTTGCCAAATTCAGTGCCAGCTGTGCCTTAGCTTTCCTGGTTCCATCCCTACACATCTGGGCAGTGTCTATATATTCTTCCCATGATACCTGCCTCTGGTTCCACTGCTTGTGCATTACTTTCTCATTCTTTAATTTGGAGGTCCTTGTTTAGCCATGCTGATCTCCTGCACTCCGTGGCTTTGTTGCTCACATATGGGAACTGAGAGCTTTTGTGCTGTAAGAAAAATGTCCTTAGAGGGGTACCAAGTCTATTCTGCCCCTCAGGGCAGTTTCCCAGGGGGTCCATTCTGTAATTCCCCAAAAAGCTGGAAGTTCTTTCTCTTGAATTCAAGGCCAATGTTCTTTAGGCTGTGATCAAATTATCTTCTAAAGTTTACTCTAATTTCTCTGGACCTTCCGCTTCTTCCAAACATTTCTCCTGTAAGTGTTAATTGTGCTACAAGTATTCAGTGTTTCTTACCTCTCCTCTTTCATATCTAATTTAGGCTACTAAATGTTTTTTGCTTTTTCACTGCTTGAGGAACCAGTGCCAATCATTCTGTTTCACAGTGGGATTCATGGATCAAATTTCCAAGTGAACTAAACCATAAACTTAGTATTTCTTTGTATGTAAACTAAACTACTGTGAAACAGCTGGTGATTTGGGGTAGGCTGTGGTCTCAGACTACTATCTCTTCTGTCAACTGTAAACTTAATTTAAGGGGAAGAGATCTGTTCCACATTGTACTTTCATCTTCATTTGACTGTTAACAGCAGACCATTAGTAGGAATATTTTTCATGAGTGTATTTAAGAAAACTCCAACTAGAAATTGCACAAATCTCCGTGTGTAGAGAGAGTGTGCAGGTGGCATGTTGAGAGTGGGAGGGAAGAAGATAAGAGACGTTGCTGATTAGTCACTTTCTTTACTGCTTGTTTATACAGCAGAAGATATCCTATTAGCCTAGAGTTCAATAGCTTATTGTAAGAAAAAAAATGTTTTCAAGAGGACAGTATTTGTGTGCAGTATTTTTTTTTTTCTGTAGATAGAGTAATTCACTTTTCTAACATTCATGGTGTTTGACTTTTTCTTTGTGTTTTGACAGGAAAAAGTGGCCCTGAATGCAAACACTGTAGGGCTGATCCAGATAAGGAGTGCCGTTTTTGTTCATGTTATTTGTGCGGTGGAAAACAGGATGCTCACATGCAGCTCCTATGTGATGAATGTAATATGGCTTATCATATATACTGCCTGAACCCTCCATTAAGCAAGATACCAGAAGATGAGGACTGGTAAATATACAAGGATGATTTATTTGTCTATATTGCTGTTCTATACATGATACCTTTTTGTTATATGCACCTTGTGAGAGACAATACTGAAGAATTTTTTTAATTCTGGTTTTCATCCATCAACTGAATAGAAGCCTTATGTTTTCTGTCAAGGTAATTCTTTTAAATCACTCACAGAGAATTAATAGTAAGCTTTAATGATCATTATGGAATTTCAAAACTGGTATGTTTGTTTTCATCGTTATAATCTTCTGTGACATTATCTGATCTGATGGTATTTATCAACAGTAGTTGTTCCTTAGCCTTTTATTTTTGTTCAAGCTTCACTGCTTGAATGATTCTTTTACGATCAACTTTTTTTTTTTCCTCTGTTGCTGTTGCTGCCCATGTGCCCTTCCTGTGCCTTCTCATTGCCTTCACTCCGTTTATTTCTCCTGTTGTGGGAGGACCACCACCTTGCTACTCATAATTACTACTGTCCCTGCTTCTGCCATCAGGAAACCCAAGCTAACAGGCATTATTAAATCAAGAGAATTATAGGTTAAATGAATTCTTCATGGACCCATTAGCCACCCTTTCAGTTGTTCTGGGCTCTGTACTTTTTTTTGGTCTTTTTTTAGCTTTCTACTATTTACACTGTTTATCACGTGCCTGTGCCTTACATGAGATGCTAGTCCATTATATTATTTGTAAATATTT